TTACATATCAATTAATTTCCAAGCATCACTGCTGTGCGCTTCCCTTCAAGACAGCGATATTGACAGCATGATTGCACATGTTACTCTAGGTAGAACCTCGATGGTTTTGGGTTGCATTTACTCCCCTCCGAATCCCAGTACGGATGACTTACGAACATTGGAACGCTTGTTTTGCTACTTAGCAGAATTACCAGTTAAATGTAAAGTATTAGGAGGAGATTTCAATATGCCTGATATTGACTGGAGATCGTGCGCCGCACCTACTAAATATTCGAGACTGATGTCTTCTTTACATATATATGGATGGACACAACATGTCCATTCACCCACCAGGGGAAACCACACTCTCGAATTTATTCCTTACACTAGGCCTATCCAACGTATCTGCTGTTGTTCTAGACAATTTCCCTGGAAGCGATCACAAGATGGTCCAACTCACCTTCGATAAGCCATTTTCTGATCCTACCCCGACTAAACCTGCCGTCCTCCACCGACCATACAATTTGTTACACATGGAATCGCTTTCCGCCCTTCTGAGATCCTTGCACTGGGAAAATTTCTTCCTAACCAATGATCCACAAGTGGTAGCCGATGAGTTCTACAAGAACATTGAGATGCGTCTAGATGCTCTAATACCACTGAATTATTGCCGTCATTCCAGGAAAATAAAATTAGAGTCCACCCCCGATAATTTTTCACGCAAACTTGCACGACTCCGAAATTACTACTTGAAAACAAATGACCTCTCCCTAGTATTGCTACAACAAAAAATCCTTGCTCAACTTGACAGACTTCGGCATATCAGCCTAATGGACGTAGAAAGACGGGCGCTAAATAGCATGAATAAAAACCTAGAACTCACCAAGCTGATGAAATATAGAAACAAGAATACGGAAACCCCATCCATCCTGATTTCTGGTAACCAAATAACTAACAATCCAGCTAAAATAAGCAGGGATTTCAATAATTACTTTTGTTCTACTTTTAACACCGCTGCTGCGGCTCCCTCGCACATTATCCCTCTGCTTACTGTTGACAAGATCTGCACAGTTGATTTTGAACTTCGTGATATAAATCGACTTATCACCTCTACGAAGTCCTCATGGTATGCCGGACCTGATAAATTACCACCAACACTTATAAAATACGGTGGATCTGACTTCCCTGTACTACTTTTGAATCTTTTTTCTCTATCCATGAACACCGGTACCGTGCCATCACAGTGGAAGACGGCTGTAGTCATTCCTCGCTACAAGTCAGGCTCTGTGCATGAAATGAGCAACTACCGCCCAATAAGCCATACTTCCATCCTCTCTAAAATGATGGAGCGTCACATAAAGTCCAAAACTGTGGACTTCATGATGTCGCGAAATCTTATCAACACCTCACAACACGGCTTCCTAAGCACGCGATCCTGCATAACATGTCAGATAGACTTTCTCAGTCTTCTGACTACTTCGCTCGATGACGGTTCATCAGCGATAGTCATCTACCAAGATATGCACAAAGCATTTGATCGTGTCCCTCATAACCATCTCTTATCCAAACTAACTGCATATGGCATAGACAACCCTCTGCTTTCATGGTTTGATTCTTACCTAACTAATAGAACCCAGGTTGTTCAGATCGAGCACGAAACAAGCACGCCAAAGGCTGTCACCAGTGGTGTGATACAAGGTAGTGTTCTGGGACGCTTTTTATTCCTACTTTACGTAAATGATATTTTTGATGTCTTTGCCTCCGGCAAACCTTTCCTGTTTGCCGATGACATCAAAATTGTTTACACTTTTAATCCAACTGAGGTCAGTGATACGCTTAGCGAAATCCAGCATGACTTACATACACTGGACTCATGGAGTTCCAAATGGATGATGACATTCTCTACTGACAAATGCCACGTGGTATCCTACAGATGTGTTATCACACCAGGTTCGCTAACTATAGATGGTAAACCATTGTCTCACTGCCACACTATCCGTGACCTAGGGATCCACTACTCGAGCACCCTTAACTTTTCCGAACACGCAGGACACACCGCAGCTCAAGCCCGCCGAAGCATTGGGCTTTTGTTCAAAACGTAAAACTTAAAAGAATCCATTAACACCATGCATAGAATAAAAACGTGCCCGATGCTTGAATATGGCTCCATCACCTACTGTAATTCTAGTGTGAGTGATCGTATGGCATTGGAACGTGTTCAACGATCATTTACTAAGCGTCTTCTAGGCTATTCCACCACCCTATCTTACATGGATCGTTGCGTTGCCTTAAAACTTGATCCGCTGTGGCTGCGAAGAATGAAACTTAACCTTTTCATCTTCTTTGACACAATTACCCAAAAAATACATTCTTCACGCCCATCGGTACAACGAGCAGAATTATCAAATTATCGCACCCGAAATAACAATCACAATAAAGTAAAAGTGAAAAGATCACGAACGAAACTGTCTGAAAACTTTTTCCTAAATCGATACTCCATATTGTGGAACAGGCTTCCATCTGAGATACGTGCAATCCAGTCAGGGATGAAGTTTCGACACGTTATACATTCCTTTCTAAACGTCGAAACAGCGATGGGTATATTGCAACCTACCTTGACAAGTGAATCCCCATACGAAATAGGAGCAAGATGGATATAGTATCAATATCAGGGGATCTTTTTATTCTCCTGTTGCCCGATCTTACTGCCCTCCCCAAATTTATCAGTAGAATAACGTGTTTTCTAAAGGCAAAAATATCTTGATTAACAATGAAGTTCACACTCACCAAGACGGAAATGTGCCCTAGAGTTCCTCTCGAGCAAATTATTTCGCATTTGTTCTGCAACGCCAATTACCTTCTACTTATTTTTTCCCTGGACCCCTCCCTTAGGTACGAGCTGCTGTGTTACGTGCTCAGCGGAATCAATGTTGATTTAATCCTTCTGCTTTTGGACTGAATCCATTTGATAACACCTTCCGAAAACCTACCATGATCTTCCACGCTTACGTTCATTCTGAACAAATCCCCTCATCGAAATCAGCTTCTCCTCTTACCGCACACAGCTGAACAGTTGGAACGACGGTTAACTTACTTTACTTTGCGTACAGTTTTCTCTCCCTCCCTGAAAAATACCATACGTACATACAACATTTCTCAGTACCATACCAAATTATTGCGCATCACCAATTTTCCCATTTTGATCTCCGACAACTGTTGGAGCTATCTTACTATTTCCTCCGAAAATTCTTCGCCTTTTCTGTAAAAAGCATGTATATTCCTGAGGTTATCAGTTACCAGTGAAACTTGTACAATCTGAATCGAACAACGTCGGACGAAAATCTAGCATTTCAAGTTACTGTACGTCCACCCACTTTTATTTGCTTATTTCTCTCCTTCCTGTGTTGGCCAGGATTGGGCCGATCTCCCGAGGCTATGGATAAACGCTTTCGAAAAAAAATGCAGCACACTCATGCAGTATGAGTTACCACAAACTCACTGGCACATATTACAAGTGCTTGATTCGAATCAGCCAAATGATGGCTGTGCGATGGGGAGAGCTTAATATGAAACACAGGCCCCCACAGTACAGTGCTGGAATTGAATCAGCTAAAAGATAGCTGTATGATGGGGAGAGCTTTTCATTGAACACAGGCCCCCACAACACAGTACTGGAAACAAATCAGACAAAAGATGGCTGTATGATGGGGAGAGCTTAATATATATCACAGGCCCCCACATAACTGTATCCATATAACGCCACAATAGCACATGGCCAGATGAGGTGTGGAAGAGAAGTGTGGGAGCAGGTCTCCGGGAGACGGTTTCATGATGGGTCGCATTACTCCAATTAAACTGACAGTTTATATCTACTTTTATTCTTACTCTCAACTTCTACTAATCTTACTCCTTTACTATTTTTAATAGATTTAGCACTGAATCATTCCTATGTGAACACAATAGATCACTGAATATCCCTCTCCACTACCCGACTTTGTTGTACCACATGATCAGGCTCGCAGTCTGCCTGTGTCTCGCATGTCGAGAAATATATCATTTATTTATTTATTTATTTACATGGCGGTTGCTAGACCGTAGCCCGTTCCACACAGGATGGAACCACTCTTTAAGCCTAGCACCGTCACGAGGACGGTGTACCCCGTCCCCACTAGTAACGACCAACTGTCTCCTGGAGCCAGTATGGAAGAGGTAGTGGGTACTAGACAGGTAGGCACGTTGTCAACATTCACATCAAGCACATCCACACCGGGGAGCTCAAACAACATCTCCTTCTGAAATGCAAGATTACTCATCACGCAGGCAAACGTACCACATACGCCGCCTTATTGGCCTGGATTAGTAAATCGAATGGGAACATACTCATGGTGCATCTATTCCGCATGCAATAGTATCTTCCCCTGCACCTTAGAAACCGCGCTTATGATCAGTCCACCGAGTTCGCATCGATCAACTTTGCCATGGATTCGCAACACCTGAAAGCAACATGAGTTTGTCATAAACTCACCTTCTTCATGTTCTGGTAGTGTTCTTTTCAGTTTTCTCGAATGTTGTTTTACTGCACTAAGTTAGCCGTACAAAAGCGTTATGAGTATCCTCGTCGAATTCATTCGGTATACATATATACATAGATTGGGCGTCATCTCGTGTCCAATGGCAGTTCGAATGCAACACATGCACATGCGTTTCCAGGGATTGCATTATTAACTGGCACAAACTGGATAGAGACACTTTGGTCCTCATGAACAAACATATATGAACAAAAATGTATGGGGTTCATTTGGAAGTCAGACTAAGAGTTAATTGCACTGTCATGAGAATAAGTACCCAATACGTACTGTTGATGTTCATTTCTTAAGGCCTATTTGGCACAACAACGATATTACTAC